AACTATGCCGTAAGAGGGTAGTGCACCATTTATTTTATTAAATGCATGGTGGTATGAGTTTGTCATTCTTTATGAGAATTTCCATTCTAGGTTATTGCAAAATTACATATAAATTTAAATTAAATCAAATGAGAGGAATATAGAAATAACTGGACCAGTGTGGCTCATGCCCAGCATTTTATCACATAGTTTTTTTTTTTAAATTAGAATTGCATTTCTGTATGAAGCAGCATGGGTTCAAGTAATTCAGTTATATTACGCACTGTCATGCAGTTACGATTCACATGAGGTGATCATGTCTAGACAGGGACTGATGATGTCAACTTGCGTAAGCTAAAATTTAGCCTATGACTCTTAGTATCGTGCTCCTCCGGTCCTCTGTGTCCTTCACAGTGCACTTTGTTATTCCGTTATTCTTCATCTTCTCTCGTCAACCAATTTTTTTTTTCTATGTTCTGTTGTGTCAGCCTCTCCCCAGCATCTGTCATAACACTGCAGTGCCAGCAGTGACACTGGGCAATGCTCACTCTTTTTGATTGATATAGCACAGTAGGAAGCCGGAGGCCAGGGTGAGTGTTGGGTCAGATGTAGTGTGATTTGTATTTTGGTGGTTGAGTGATGGTTGGTTGACAGAATTCAGGGTTTTGTCTTCATCACCGCTGTCTCAGCATAATGTGAGGTTAGACCCTATTAAAACGGTGGCAGCCAGTGATGCTTAATTAAGGTAGACGTCTGACTAACAGCAACTGATGAAGCGAAAATGAGACAATTAAGGAAATCAAACAACGCTGTTAACATACAAACAATACACAGGAGGTGAAAAGGTCGGCATGCACTTTTTATTCAGTGACAAAGCTTAACAGAGCGATGATGCAGGACTCCACATCAGCAGCCTTGTTCTCACACAGATTTACTCAGGCATTTCACCTGGTCAGCTCTCAGACATCAAAGCAAGCCTGGAATATAAGTAGAAGTGACATGATGTCATTGCAGGACAATGTCCTCATGCACTCATACGCCGTCCCCTCAGCACCACAGTATTACATTAACATTAGCCAGACGACCGAACCTCAGTATCAGCTGTTCCAAATGTGGATCTCTTTGGAAAGCAACAGTGGAAAGATGTGAGAGAGTGCCACTGCTCAGATAAAAGAGTTATTTTCTCACAAGATCCATGTGCCAGCCTGCTCTCCTTCATTGTGGGCTATTCTAAGAGAGGCTGTGAGGGCGTGCTCCTAGTATATGTGAGGGCTTGGACATTAGATAATTGCAGACATGATGCGGATTAAGATTGGTGGCTGGGGCCATAAAAGCATGGCGCATGGCTGATGATTTCACGCCCTCTAAGATAAGGTTCATGTTGCTATCCCAAAAGGGAAATACTACTAAGGGAAGTATTATTATACATTTGCGTTTGGATGGAGGTCTGTCGCACATCCAGTAAATACCTGTGTGAATAGTGGTTTTGTTGACTGTGGTCAGCCTCGATATATCCTGTATCTGAGGCCAACTTTTGGATTGCACTTCACTGCACGTCATCACTTGACTCCACTAAAAGAATGTTGCACAGCGGTGGGCACCTCCACTCCCACTCTTGGCTCTCAGAGAGGGGTTGGTAGTTACACAGTCCAGGAGACGTTGCTAGCCTTGCTCTGTCCTAAAGCTCCGCCCTTAGTATGTCTGCACCTGTATCACCAATGGACCGCCGCATACCAGACATAATGTATCGTCATCATCTTCCCTGGCCCCGTCAGAATGGATTGCTAAGAGCATGTCTGTGGATAGCATGCCAACTATAAAAAGGCACCTACTTGACAACAGTAAGATTCAGTAGGGGGCCGCCTATACTGCGCATAAGAGCTGGTGATAAAAGACCAACACATGCATGCGTATAAGTGCACGCTCACACAACAACACGTACACACAAATACACACTCACAGATGTAGTCTTGTTGACACTTCACAAAGGTCAGCTATCAATAACGGTCTAAATTTGTACACCTTTAATGTTGACAGAGGAAAGGGTTCTTTATGCATGTGTTAACAACAAAATCATACTGCAGCTTTTAAACTTCTGATTAGACATTTGTTTTTAAGGCAGTTTAAGGTGATATTTATATCTACGATGCCATGTTATAGAGTAAGATCCCCTTAAACAGTAAAACATGATCAGTAATTTGCACTACACTAAATTAACTGACAGGAAATTCTTTTACAAATGTAATTAGAGGGAAGCCTTACTTTGGATGAAAACTTAAACCAGGTAATCTGCAGATTAAAAGCACCGCATCTTTTTCTTCTTCTTTTTATTTTTAGCAAACAGGATATTTTATTATGTGCAAGTGGTTTCAATTGGATTTGTGTAAAGCAGTGTGTGCTGCTGTTGTTGAGTTGATGATATGAGCCAGCTTTGTACCACAACAACAACATCATAATAACTACATCATAGGGCTGAGTGAATTAACACAGAGCTGGAATAATTAGTTCAAAAAGGATTGTATTTGTTTGATATTTACACAAGAGCTTGTGCATTCCTGAGGCGCCATTTTCATCAGACAAAAGGGTCATATTTTGCATTTGTGTCTGTTTCCATATCAAGTCACTAGACCATCTCTAACAGCCCTCTAAAGATTTTAAGAATTCATGAGCAGTAGGGCTTTTGCATTCACATTTTCACTCCAGGTCTGCAGATCTATGTTTCAAAAGATACATGGATAGACAGATTTAGTTCTGAACCTGTTGATTTAGCTTCTTCTTCAAGTCCACCAAAACAGATTACTTATTCTATTTCCCTTGAAACCAAAGGAAAACAATGTACTAAATGTGTAAAGGCCATGTTTTCTGGTCACAAGATACCTAGCATTGACTATAAAGGAATACCATCCAGTCTGTAAATAATTGAACAGTTTAGTGTGTGTGTGTGTGATGGTGACACACAGACACAGGGTGGGGAGAATTCAGCAGTTAAGCCATCAAAAATCAAGACACAGCTCAGTGGCTTTGCATAATGAAGACAGAGTTAAAACAAATACAGTTTTGTTTCAGGGCAACACTTCGTGAGACAAAACCATAATTTAATGTCTTGTGTTTATCCAGCAAGGGCAGCAGTCCTCACAGCCAAAAATGTCAGTTTTAATCTAAAATGCTGTGTGTTAAAACCAGCACCATGCCAGGGCTGATATCAATCCACACCTATCAGAGTTCAACCCTGCAGCATTAACACTGAAACATTTGCTGGGGAGCTGCACCACAATGATTAATCATTGCTAGAAACTACAGAAACTCATTTATCCAAAACACACCATAACACTGTGGTTGTAGGCTACTAGTACTTGTAATATCCTATCCTAAGAAAATCTACCAATATCCTACAAAATGTCTACAAATAGCCTGACAGAAATAAAGTTAACCTACATCCCAAAACACCCCACATAATCTCTATTCAGTGTTAGCTTGTATATAACAATATATATATATATATATATATATATATATATATACAAGCTAATAGTATATATCAGTATGTTATGCGTGGCCTATAAAGAAAAAATAAATAAAATATATATATATATATATATCTATATACAGCATAGATATATATATATATACAGTATATAATTACTTTGGCCCTTATTTCAAATCAAAGGATCAGATTCTTTGCTATAGAATTTGTAACCCTATACTCAAAACACAAGTTAGGCTTACCTCAAACCGTTCTGTATTTCTTCAAGGATGTCAAGCTACTTGTCATTTATTAATAGCTCAGCATTCCCCTTGAAACAGTTTGATGACAACCTGATATACTGCCAGGGAAACAAGGCTGGATTCCCATTCGGTAATCCAGGTCAACCGCTCTCTGGTTTACTCCTTATCATTTGAGTCTTCATATTTTACTTCAGCAACATTACATCACAAAATAGCCAGAAATTTGTACCACTTAATTAGAATATAAAATATGACAAATCCTCCATCCTTTGCCTTGTGGCTCTGATCTTGTCAAAATCTACTTGTAAGGTCTTCATTGTTTTAGTTTATATTGCTCATTTGCTCCTTCATAGGGGAACAGTAAGGCTGAAACCAATTATTGTTTTCATTATCAATACATCTGGAAGTATTTTCTTTACTAATTGATAAATTGTTCAGTTTATAGAATGTCAGAAAATAGTGAAAAACTTCAACTTGCTTGTTTTGTCTGTCCAACAGTGAGAAATTCAAAGATGTTGAGTTTACTGTCATAGAAAACTAGGAAATATTCCCGAATGAGAAACTGTAATAATTAACTGATCATTTCAGCTCAAGGGTACTGGTTGATATGTGGGTGCCCATGGAGAAATAACAAACTGCAGTGTAAAATCAGGGTCAATAGGGGGTCAACAACAGGGTTTTTTGTCCTGGGGCCTAGAAGGTTAAGCTGGCCATGTGGGGAACCACACATAGTAACAAATTTTGGCATAGTTTTAGCTTATCCTGGTATGGACCATGTTCTATCCATTAAAGGATAAAGACAATGGTATTCTATATATAGGTACTGTCAACAAATTCACTTAAAAGTTAAATATGGTAGTCTGTCTCACAGTGAAACTTTCTGTGTCTGTGACACCTAGCCCTAAACATAGTAGGATCATTTCATTGTTGGTTTTGGTCTTTTCATGTAATGTGTTGACACCCAGAGAAATATAGATTATCCCCAGACATATGCATTAACACACAGCCTGTATCCTCCTTAAGCTGAGCTGAGGTCAGTCTTTTGTATGTTTATACTGCGGATAGAAATTAAAGTGGCACTTTCCTGTTAGCGGTGAGCTGTAGGCTACACAGGCCTACTGTGTGTCCTCTGCGAACAGTGATTGAACCGCGGGCGTTGCCATGGCTACACGAAGACCCAATGAGAAGCTCGCGGTAGACTGTTGCTGAATGAAAATAACAGAGGCCATTTTGCGCACGAAGCCACGGCATCATTCAACAATAATAAAAACGGAAACGGGGAGGCAGGTTCAGTCCATTTCTGGATAGACGCGAGTGCTTTTTAGAGCCAGTAGAGTGGTGTGGGGCCGCGGTGCCACTGGCGCTTGTAGTCAAGAAAGAAAAAAAGGCATGCGGTAACTAATTGTGCCGCCGCGTCGTCACCTCTCTTCCCTGGAGGTTTATGTTGTGAGGTAAGGGGGACAGGACGGCTTCACTGCATCGCTATCCCCCCACCAGCAGTGACCCCCGAGAGAGGGAGTTGCCTTCAGTTAGCTGACCGACACCGGCAACATCCATGCGCGTCGAAAAACAGGTGTACGGTTTCATCACACGGACACCGCGTTAGCTTCCGAGACGCCGTGGCTCGCTGCGTTTGTGTGTGTACTTTTGCGCTTGTTCGAGTGAGGACTTCATTCATTTCACACGGAAGAGGCTGTTTACCTGATGAGATGTTGCGGAATTAAGGGGCAGTCGTCGTAAGGTAGGTACAGCAATATTGTTGGGCTAAAGCTCTATCTCTCCCTCCGCGCCGCTTTTAGCAGCTGCAGCGGACCTGACCCACAGCTCACTTTCTTGTTGTGAAGAGGTAAACTAGGCTATTTTGAGTGTTTTTAAGTGCGTTACAAACAACAATGACCCTGTGGTTGTAATCGCCGATACCACAGCAAATGAATCAGCTCATCTGGGATGCGGTAAGGTTCCTCTAAAGTGCATTCCAGTGGATTGCTGCTCCTAGTGCATTAAATGAAGATGCGGTCAGGGCTGGGATGATGTTAAATACTGAAACCGCAGGCATTTTAAGCTGTGGAGAAGAGAAATGTTGCTTAACATTAGCAGTGTAAAACCGTGAGCATGAGTGTGTGCAGTAGCCTGCTTGAAAGTAATGAACATGAATTGAGATATCCATGTTTAACCTACATCCCAAATGCTTAGGATAATCTCTATTGTTAGAGCAATAATGCAAAAAAAAAATATGCTTTGTTTGGTCTGTATTGCAGGTTATTTCCCCCAGTGGCTTTCATTTCGAGAAAACAGGACTTATTGAGTTTTGTTTTGTACCTTGTGGAGCTACTCTAATTTATGATATCAACACTAGTAACCCCAAGATACATTCTGTGTTGTGAAGGCCAGTACCTCACAGGGGAACTGTAAATATTGAATTTTTCCTCATTCCTGCTGATGCTTGTTGCATTCACCTGCCATCAAAGGTTCAAATCAGACAGTCTCTCATTTATAGAGGGCTAGAGTGAAAATCCATAGGGTCCTGAGAGATCAGTGCTACCGCAGTGGTGCATTTCATGTAACATCTTAAGACTTATCTATAGCTGTGTTGCCTATGTATTCTCTAGATGCACATCAGAAAACAATAAGGAATTGTCAGCTCATATGTTTCTTTGGTGCCACCTGCTAACTGATATGAAAGGATGATGTAATGAGGAAACAAAACAAAAGGCTAGCAGAGATGGTTGGTATCTGTAAAACCCATTTGAATGCTGGGTGAACAGGGAGAGTGGGGAGGTGTCCAGGATGCACAAAATGTAACACTATCACTCCGGGAACCTCATACCACTCCCAGTGTGGCCTACCTGGCCTGTGAGTGTGTTATTGTGTGTGTGTGAGTAAGTGTGCTGTAGGCTTTCCTGGTCTGTGATATTGATGTAGTATTTTATTGCATACTTGTCAGGGGGAGAGGAAGTGACACGGCGGGCGCCAATATGACAAGCAACAGTTGGCTGCTATCTGTCTCATGAGGGGCTGCTGCACCAATAAACAGCCTCTCATAGGGGCTTAAATATACACACTTAATGGGCGATCATAGCATTTTGACTTGATTGATGACCAATGAGCCAGAAAGTATGTCTCTGTTAGCGTTAACTCAGTTGCACCTGCCAGTTTAGGGTTACTGAGAGAGACAGCTTGTGTGTGTGTGTGTGTGTGTGTGTGTGTGTGTGTGTGTGTGTGTGTGTGTGTACATGTATGTTTCAGTGAGACAGGCCGAAGGAGAGAGAGTGAGAGGAGGAAAGAGGATCAAGGCAGGCCATCAGGGAATAGGAGAATGTGATACATTTTCTTCTGAAAGTACAGAATGTAACAGGGGGTTACTCGTTCACTTTCTTTCTCCCTGACACTCTCTTTATCTATTTATCTCTCACTCACTCATCTCTCTCTCTCTCTCTCTCTCTCTCTCTCTCACACACACACACACACACATTCCTTTTAATTTTCCTTTGTCCTTTATTTCCTTGTTTTGGTGCCCTCTCTTTTCTCATTGTCCCTCTGCTGCCTTCTTGCTCCTTTATATCTTCCCCTCTCTCTCCTCTTCCTCAGAGGCTGATGTCATGGCTCAAGTGGTGTGTGAAAAGCTTGCCTAATTCTTAGTCTAGCTGATAATAGGGGCCGCCTGCAGGACATGCTTGCTCCCTGAGCTTTCTCAATAACCCAATCCTTTAGAGCTTACTGAGCTGCTTGTGACTGTTACCTAAACTGCTCAACTTTTTTTAACTTAAAACTTGAAACTTGAAGATATTCGTCTGTTTTTGAAATTATTGGGATGATCAATCATTGTTGGTTACTGGAATGTCACAATAATGATCTGTGTATCTATCAATTAATGAGATAATTATGAAAAACTAAAAGTGGCTACCAACATAAAATGCATGAAATGCACATTCTTTTTGTGCATTTCATTTTAATTGTGTTTTAAAATGAAATGAATGCCTCCAACTTCTAGAAAATCAAGACCTTCTAAGATGGGCTAAGTGACCACCACTACATTGACATATCAATGTACTAGAGGATTTAGTTGTTTGATATCTTAAAACTCAGAAATGTTCAGTCCAGTTAAGTTCATTTACTGGTACATCTTGTATTTTTCATAGTTATCCTGGCATCTAAATACAATTTCAGTCCAGTCAGTTTCAATTTATCAGTTTCGTTGGTCTTAATAACAAGCGCCAGTTTATCAGAACACTATAAAAAGGCTGAATTTAAAAACGGTCTTTAAGTAGTCGAGGATCGGGATATACTTTAAACTGATTAGCAACACTACACAGAGGAATTAAGGAGCCTATCCTGCCCAGCTTGGAGAAAGAAGACTAGAAGACTGCCTTTAGTACATGTGTAGGTTTGAAATGCTGCAGTTTAGATGATGTTGCTGCCTTGTGCTGGCAGATCATGGACAATGGAGAAACACCTGAGGAATAAACAACATAGTTTTACCATTTCACAACAACTGTAGTATGCAGGCCATCACAGCTCAAAATAGTCAATTTTTAAAGGCTGAGAGTCAAGCTAAATGCTACGTACTCAAGCTAAATACTTCTGTATTCTTAAACTACTTGTAAAAAAGAAAAATTCTGTTAAACCTATGAATGCATAACACATTTGAGATCCTAGCTCATATTCCTCTGCACTGTTTCTGCACTTCCAAAGCAGCAATACTTTGGCGCTGTGCCTGTTGAGTTATATAGTTTTGGATGTATTTTTTCCTTTTTTGATCTGCTCCCAGGTTTAAGTGTTTTCCAGTAAGTGACACTTACTAATGTGAACATGCACAGCTCCTCTGCTTTTTATATCCCGCCACTTACTTAACTGGAAATGGCAGGGCCTTGCAGAAGCTGATAATGAATTAGGTGTTGAAACTGTACGGGTGAGACCATGTCGACGCAGCCACTGTCGTCCGGAGTGGCTCATAGGTCAAAGTGTCGGTGCGTTTGAGTGTGAGTGTGTGTCACTTGCTATAAAAATAGTTTGCTCTGCTAGTTTAATGAGATCATTCCCAAGCTGCTGTTGTGTCATGATGGTTTTAGTTGTTTTTTTTATAAATCATTCGTAGTTTAGATGCACGAGGGATCTGATCTAGATTTGTAAAGTTACATCCCTCAAAGGTCAGAAACTTTGGGTTGTGTTCGTTCAGATGTTGATGGAGCTCTTGTTGGTCAACTTCTGTGAAGTCTCAAGTAGGTTAAAGCAGAATATCTGAAGTAAAAATATAATAATCAATAACTAAACTCAGGTGCTTTACCTCTTCATTACTTTATTGGTCCCCTGATACTCCCCTAATTCTGGCCCCAAGGTTGCATCATTAGCACCTGTCACTCGTCAGCTTTTCACCATACCTCACTGATCCTTGGCACGTGACCAGAAAGTTCTGGGGGGGCAGCTGCTATTTGATCATGTCTGCTGACACACTGATCACTGTAGAGCACTCTGGAAACCCCAAGGTCTGAAGCCTGGGTGTTTGGGAGGACATAGTTGTAGAAGGAGCGCTACTTATCATCATTGGAGCCATCTGTGCCTGTGTAGATTTTTACATTACCACTTCATCATAAGCATGATGAAAGCCTACACAGATAGTGTTGATCCAGGACAACTCAACTAAGTCCGTCAGTGCTTGATTTAATGGTTGACAACAGGTTGACATTTGGCTGAACTTGTCCAGAAGTTTAGATGTTTACCTTTGTGGCTTCATATATTTAAGGTACTTGTTGCTGACCCAGTTAAAGTTATTATTTTTGATAGACTTTGATAGATCCATTTGGGATGTAGGACCATACAACTGCTATCAAAAGAAAGGCAGTGAATTAAGTTGATGTCACTTCACTGTTTCGTTGACTAAGGCTGAAATCAGGCAAAATCAGTAACCATAATAGTCATACTTTGAATCAGTTGTTTTGGCTATCTGTTTTTGTCGGGGCAAATAAGTCACCATTCAGCAGTCTTATCAACATTCACATGCCATTAATAGAGCTGCATTACCATGAGTTAATGAATTTCCTTTTGTAGTGACTGCTGAACTCTTCCTGCACCCTACCATGCAGTAATTTGTTAGTTGCTGATTTTTGTGCCCGTTTTGTTTGTTGTCGAGTGAGGGTGTGAAGGGGGGAGGTGGAAGTGGTTCAAATAGCATATTGCACAGTAGCTGCCTGGCTGGTTTTAGGTATCCAGTCTCTAAATGTGAGATGCTAATAGCAGTAGTTACATCATCATTCTGGGAATAGCACGGAGTCTGGGGTCTAGAGGTGCTTCTGGCTGACCTCTCTCCTGTGTATATTCAGACCTGAGTGTGTATGTGTGTGGTAATTTCCAAATATACATTCCCATATGAATTACACAGCAGTAAGATTATTAATGACACAGGTGAGTGGATATATAATTAGTCTGTATATATTTACAGCCTCCACATGCACATGGCTTGTTTGTGATAAAAAGGGAAGGGGTGCTGTTTGTGCCTCTCCTTGTGTATGCGTGTACATCACTGACCGGCCTTTCCTGACAGGCAATCAAAGTGTCAGCAACAGAAAGTGAAAGAAAATCTCATGTGAGAAGAATTTGACACTCCTGTCAGTTTCCGTGTGGAGTAGGCCACTTCACATAGCCCCACACTGATGAGATTGACGACTGTGTGACATTAAAGCCCGGGGGGGGGGCTCTCTAACACCCCATTTAACAATACATAACTTATCAAAGGTGCACCTACCTGGTGTCACTGTACCATAGAATTACAATATGTATGTGTGACTCTGTTGTTGTATGTACAGTGAGTGAATGTGTGTGTAGAAATAGCCTGTGTTTGCGTGCATGAGTGTGCATACTACATGGTATGCATGCATGCAAACTTGTGAGTGTGGTAAAATAGAGATAGTCAGCCCTGTCACTTTGCCCCCACCCATCTACACTGGGGGGTAACTTTCCAGTCTCATAGACGAGCATGCCTCAGTCTGAAAATAGCCGTATCTGATCACTGCTTCACCCAAACAGGGAACTCTCTTTCCCTGTCACTCCCTCTCTTTGGCTCTCTAACTTTCTCCTCATTCTGTTGTCTCTGTGCTTCCCAGGCATTAAACGGGGAAAGATCTGGGAATAAAGCTTGACCGGGAGGAGAGACTTATCCTGAGCAGAGTGAGGAGGAATAGAAGAAGAGAAAGAGAAAGGAAAGGTGCTGGTGCACAGAGCTCACCTATACCTGACTCTTCTTAGCAAGTCTCCAGTCTCTTGATTTTATGACGGTAAGAGTTACATTTTCTCTGCTTGATGGACTGTTGCACCTGCACTCTGCTGGTCGAGAGGTCAGGCTTTTAGGATTAAATGTCACAGGAGATTAATAAATAATGTGCTTATGTGCATTTTCGTGCCAAAACTCAGGAGAACCTTTAAACTTTAAGTCCTGTTTTTAAAAGTGGACTATAGACTGACCAGTACAGGTTTAACTGACATTGTTAATCCATGCGAGAATATACATATAATATTTCAATATGTGTATATCTGATTTATTTTGAAGTGTTGCTTTGATGTCATGTTTGAATACACACAAACACAGATCTCACATTGCTGTTTACTGATTTGTGACACGTCTATATTTACTTGTTATGAACACATCGATGCTTTAAAGAGGAAGCAAATTAAAAGAGGCCTGAATAGTTTTTACAGCCCAAACACCAAAATGGGAATTGTATTTATCTGTTCTGCCAAAACCCACAATTATAGACCAAGAGTGGAATTTTTGTCTTTTGTGACAGTGGACAGTGGAAATGGTGTCAAATAAAAACAGTGGTTTTTACTGCGGTCACCTCGGAAATAGCATCAGCAAATAACTTAGAGTACAGTTTTGAGGATTTAGAAGTTTTTATGTTTTAACTTTAAAATGTAAGTTAGATATACACACAACAGAAATTCACCAGTTGAACTTAATGTTATGTTTTTATATCTTGATAAACTAAATGTTTCAGTTCAATCCCTAAAACTCTTCCTGTCGTCTTTCCCTTTACCTCTTTGTCTTCACATAATTTTGCCCCAGAATCTCATTTTCCTCCCTCTCTCCTTTTTACATACTTCCATCTCTTGTTACACCCTTTTTTTCATGGTCTCCTCTTTCCCACTCAACAAAAGCCATGTACCAATCCCTCCATTAGGGCCAGTCTCAGAGGTGTTGTGGAATGTCACCTTGACCCCTTGGGTACACAGTAAGGGGTGGTTCCCAAGCTCGGTTCGTATCATGGTTCGTTTGGTTCCCTTTTCCTCTGGACCTGTTATAGGGAGAGGCTATTTGTCTGTTCCATGTAAATGTCACAGTTTACACCCCATTTTTCCATGGCAAATTTGGCATTTTTAATACATAAAATGATTAAATCCAATACCAGTAAAACTTTATTAGTTAACAGAACTTTACAGTGCTCCTGTAAAACTCTGTGGTTAGTCTAAGCTACATTATTTGGGACAGAGCTGGCCTGATTGCTTGGTTGGATCTGTATCACCTGTGATGTGGGTCTAGGAAGTATATTTCATCTGTTGGAGAGACACCAAAATAAGTCATGATTTATTTATTTACATGTAGAATAAAGTACAAAATGCTTTGACATATGTGTGCCCATAAAATCAGTTAGCTTAACAGTACTTTTCAACTTTAATTCCCTTGTTACTGTTACTCTGTTGTGACCCTCCTCTTCCTCATTCCTTCCTGATATGGAGTATTTGTTTAAAAGCTGATGTACAAAAGTACAAAGACATTCAAAAGTTGCCTTTAGGCTCTTGAATTTCAGTCTCATGTGCGATACTCACAGTAAACAGGCATTTTCCTTGCTCTGACATGCACAATACCTTTGAAGTAGATGCCTCTGTGCATTAGACTTTACAGGATGGTCTTGTAGAGTTTGAGATCTACAATTGCAGCCCACGCATAAACATTCATATTCTAAAGTTTATGCAAAGCAATTGATATTCCACATTGTCAAACGAATAATGACATTTTCTTTTTGGACTGTGAACTTTACTGATTATCTTTAACCCTATGTTGGATTTCAGGAATTTAAAAATGTTGAAATGGTAGTATATCCTGCCTGACACCCAGAGAACATAAAGATTACACAGATAGATTTTCCCGATGATCAGGACCACCTTAGAGGGTAAAGGGTCCTGTCTAATGGCAGTAAATATAGCACCACTGCTAATCAAGTTCCTCTTATCTTCATGCTCGACACTTAACACTGGTACCTGGGGAATCCAGACTATGTATGGAGAATGTAATTTTAGTCACAAGTGATAGTCATTTTAGTGTTTTACTTCAAATGTGCAAACTACTTCCAAATGTCTTTCTTAAATACTCTAAAATGGGATATAGATGAGATATAAAGAGTTGATTTTCTTTCTAAGATATCAAATTTTTTACATAACCAAACCTTCATACAGAATATGAATAAGATGTTGAACGGTAATGATGTACAAGGCTTCTTTGCCTTGTATAGTGTTCACAGAGAATTTAGCTGGAAGAGCAGAGAGTCTATATTTGCTTCACCATCCTCCTTCATTCTTTAGAAAGGATTGTTTGCTATCCCCGAGTTTGAAAAACCTAATGTCCTAATTTCTGCATTCTCCCAAAAGACCGCTCCATTAGGTCTCTGATGACACATTGGTGCCACACAGGAGAAGAGATGAAACGGTGACAGCTTTAGAGATGCTGTTTACTGGTGATGCTGTGTATCCCCAGATGGCTTTAGCCAGACAGATTACATAATACTACGTGCTGATATGGACCTCCTATGTCATTTATTTAGTATTTCATCAATCATATTCCTTTTTATAATCTCTCTTCTGCTCTGTAATCTATAACCTTTTCTGTGTTCATTATTTCATTTCCATTTATATTTAATTCTTGTCTGTATTCCATCTTTTTATGTATCTTTTTTTTTCTCTATTCCTCTTCATGAACATCAAGAGCAGTATACAGTAAATGCATCTTCAGCTCTGTATAGAAATAGTCAAATAACAAACCCACGAATTGTCACATCCGATTCATTCTTCTTCGCCCATAGCCCCGACTCAGTACCCGGGCTTGTGTTGCATAATTGCATTAGTGCTCTCAGGCCAATGGCTCTGCTCGTTAGTGGGGTTGTGATGCAATCTGCAGAACACATGGGCCTCTGTTGTTTGCAGTATGGACAGTGAGTGGGCATGCAGGGTCAGTGTATTGACCTCCACTATCCATTCATACAGCCAGAGGGGGGTCTGCTAATGAGTGGCAAGGTTGAACAAACAACGCTGATAACAGAGACTTTGTTGGAAATGGCTGTTGTTCAACTAGTGGCAGTAATGTGGTGGCAGAGCACTTACATGGTCCTGATAAAAAAAAATTAAAATAAAATAAAATAAATTTAAAAAAAAAAAAAGAAGAAAGACCTGCATCTAACAACAACTGGCTTTGTATTTGTGTGAAAGAGAGGTTTAAAACACTACTTTGAATGAAGTAGAATTTGATTGACACTGTAGTTCTGCACTGAAACAGAAAAAGATGTTTCTCAGTTTTTATTAATGCAATAAATCCCCTATATGTGTTGTATTTGTTTTCCTTAAGCCATAGTTTGGCTCAATATTTAATGTATTTTTAGTGTTCAGGGTTATTTGCTTTTCTAAATTCAAATGAAGGCCACAAAGCTTAAAAACCTATATAAACCATGGCAGCACACTGAATATAAGAAGGCCTAACTTTTACTTCATAACCTTTAGCAAAGCGTCTCTACAACAATCATTAACAATGGGTTGATGTTGTTGCTTTACATTTTTGGCAAAAAAAAAAAACCCTACATCCTTGAAAAAAATCAGCTTCATTATTTATTAATGTATGATCAAGATGCATTGATCCACTGTACTACGTAGCCACACTCCAGTAGGTAGTTGTCTGTCAGGCCAATATCATTTTATTAACTTGTTCAAAAAGAAAGTTTGGAAATGGGAGACAACAAGTGACAAGTTGTCTTTGCAGCAGCTGATGTAATGCTCCACTGCTAAGAGGCTCACAGGGTATACTGAAAGTTATCAAGTTTCTTCTGCCTGTAGTGACTTTAAGTAAAGCGTCAAGACTGTGAGTGTTTAATGACTTACTGTGATCCAAGTCTTGGGATGTGAGTGTCATTTCCTAAAGTTCACTGTAGAACTCTGAACTGCTAATCCCAAAATATTACAGTTGTCCTCCTGTATTGTTGTATTATATCACTGAATTATTTGCTGTTGAAATGTTAACTTGTTTGGCTGATGTCTAACATGAATACTTGAAGCACTAGAAATACTTGAAGCTGTAAAATACCATGTCCACTTAAAGCACAATGGGTAATGAGCTATAGCTAGACTCTTATTATGATTCCCAAGCCTTTCTTTCTTTTTCTTTTTCTTTTTTTCACATCACAACCCTGCGTGCTCCACATTTTTACCACAAAAATGCACCACTAAAATAACTTGGCTCCGATCCAGTAATTAAGGATTGAAGCAATTCTAAATTCTGCCTTTTTTGGAGGGGTCACTCTCCCTGTCAGCTGGGTTTAAGGCTAGCTATGTCTCAACTGAGATTTATGTTGGATCACCAGGGACATTCTGTTGCCTTGTTGAAGCAAGATTTGTTCTCTCTGATTCCTACTGTAAGATTTTAGAGATTGCTCTGTTTTGTGCTTCAGTTTTATTCCCATCAAATTTCCAGGCTTGTAACTAATATTGACTACAGAGCAACACTGCTGATTATACATATATTGCATGTTGTGTCCTGTAATATTTTTGCCAGAATGTTTTTTTTTTTAAATCTTATTAAGCTTGTAACAGCTGACAATCTTGTCTTTTATAGGAACAGCTGAATAGAATCTATCCAATGACTTTTTGGTGAGGTCTTTAAATAGATTTGCTAAGGAGCTTAATCTGTTGACATCCTGTGGGTATGTCTCAGTCTGAGTGACCACTCCAGGGTCGGGACCCTTGAGGCCATAGTCGGCTTATCTCCAATGACTGTTCACTCTTTCCTGCTGTCTTTACACATGCATTTAGAAATTAAACTAGCTATAATTAAGGTAATGAACTAAAATAAAAACATTTCAACTGCGGTAAATTATAGTATTAATCTGATTGTTGAATTGTTATTTTATAGTTTATTGGATTATTTATGTAATCATTGATATGTTTTGTTGTGCTCAGTTGTTGGAGGATTTATTTTGTAAAGATGCATTTAATTATTTAGTTTTGGCAATTACTGGGG